GGTGCTTTTATTGGCAAATTGGAGACAATTTATCTCTCCGATCCACCAATTGATGCTTGAAATTGAGGTAAGAAGTCAAGCTCATGACTCTAAATGAGCACTTATCGGGAGGCAACCCAATTTCCTAATTCTCTTTTATTTTAAATTTTTAGTTCTCTTAGTTTCTTTTTCTTCATTCTTTTTAGTGTTAGTTTAGGTTTTGATTTTTTGATTTTTTTTTGTTTTACTTTACTAACTTTATTAACATTTCCTTTTTATTAATTTTTAGTGATATATTAAATCATTTCAAATAAAAAAAAGAGCAGGAGCAGGTAACCGCAGACACCAGCCCGCACAAGCTAACGGCAGGCCAGCACTCGCTGGGCCGAGCACACCCTAACAACCCAACACATTGCCTGATCCGCTGGAATTTTAGTGACCATTGGTTCTGGCACCTTGGCAGCCTTCCCGCATCCCAAAAAAACAAAAACAAAAAAAATTACAAAAAAAAAGTGTGCTGCTGCTACAATTTGCACACATCCCAAGGCGCCACCCTTTTTCTCTCTACCAACCCATCGTCGGAGTCGCTCACCACCGCTACACCACCGGCGCCCACCACCGCTGCACCTCCCACGACCACCATAACCCCCCTTCCACGAAAAAAAAGATGAACCCTAATTCTTTCAAGGTTAGGGCTTTTTGATTTCTTTTTCAATTGGGTGAATTGGTTGGAATTACATCAATTGATGCTTAATTTGAGGTAATTTTCAACAATTTGGTTTCAATTGTACATAAAGAGGTATTAGTTTAAATTTTTCATCCATCTTTTACCTTGAATTGTCCACATTCATATAAAAATTGGAAATTTTGCCTCTTGTCTTATATTATTGGATTGTTGTTGAGTTTGTGGTGATTTTTGTTGATTGAAACATTGATGTTTGGTTAGTGGATAGTTGATTTGATTCTACTTTGGTTTTTGGGATTGTGAATACTAGTGTTGGTTGGAGTATTTTGTGCCCATTGCTTTTTTATTGTGAAATTGCATCATGAGAACCACAAGAGCCACTAGTTCTCACCCAAAATTCACCCCTTCTCCACATGCACCACTAAGATCAACTCTGACAAAAAGAAACCCACCTTGAAAAGCAAGATCCCTACCTTCGAAGAAGCATCCCAATCCACCACAAAAATCTACCAAACCACCACTTAAACCACCTCCAACCACTTCTCATACCACTCCACCTCCCACTTCCCACCCTTATACAAGTTTGAGTAAAACTTAACACGACCTTGGCTTTTCACTTCAAGGCCGAGAAATCAAACCAACACTTCGTTATTCATATGACAATGGTAAGAAACTTGGCGTTGATGATTGTTTACAAGAAATTGGTCGAACGTGTGGTTGGTCAAAAATTCTTAATTTAAAGGAAGAGGTCTATCTATATTTGGTGGTTGCTGAATTTCTTACTTCTTTGTTAGTATTGGAAAATGGTGACATATCTTTTTCTCTTGATGGAGTGGCACATTCAATGGCACCAAAGGAGGTTAATGAAATTTTCGAATGACCCTGTGATGTAACCATTGGCTCATCAGAATTTGGTTCGTTTTGGGGTGAAAAAAATGGCTTACAGTTTCACCAAAAAGTCTTTTGGAGAGAACTCACAGGTCGGGATGATTGGAAAGTTGGTTCTACTAAGTCTTTTTCAATTGTGAACCCAGTGCCTCGTATTCTGCACCGCTTACTTCTACAAGTGTTCTTTCCAAAGAAAGAGATGAGGCGAATTGCTACAAGTGATTTCAAGATGCTTTGGTGGTTCTTATATGGTGATCGAGACAAGATGGGCCAATTGGATTTTGGAAAAGTCCTCATTGCTTCATTTCTTGTGTAGAGAAACAAGCCAAAAGGGCCTATTACTATGGAGCTTTGTAATTGTCTTTGTTAAGCATATGGGGATCGACTTGTATTACTTCAAAAAGTTAATAAATATGCACTCCTTGATCATGTGAGTATGGAGCGATATGGTTGGTTGTTGTTACCAAACATTGATTTGTTTCTATAGCAAGTTAAAGGAGAGGAGAAGGACTCAAATCCGATTCCCTATGCTGTTTTTCCCACCCCTGCGACTCGAATGGGTACTCCAAATGCCCTTTTGTTTCTCTTCGTCAGCAGATAGTAGCTTCTAGCAACACCGCTACATCTAATGACACTACAGTCGACGCCTCTTCTGTCGACGAGTCTCTTGCTGAGTGAGCTTTTCTTTCTTCTCCCTCTTTCATGTATTTTATTTTGCCACAGTGAGGACACTGTGTTTCATTCTAGCTTAGGGGAGGGGTATCTATCTTTTAATGCTTTCATAGCGTAGTTTTTTTGCTTTTCGTAGGTATTGCATAGTTTGTACAGTCTATTAAGGATGAGAGTTTACATGTAACGAAATAAAAGTATTGCTTTCTTAGTTTATTTTGTTTTTGTTTCTGCATTCTTGTGCCTATTTTCCATATTTTGACTTTGAATCGTGTGCGGACTCGATTAAAATTTCTCGAGCTTCTTCTCATCATAGTTATGATTTTGAAATTCGGTCAATGTGCTGTATACGTTGATAACTGCGTAGCAATGTAGCCTGCGATTAATTGGTTTGTGGTAAGATGTTTTGCTCTTTTTCAGTCTAGCTATTTGAAATTTTGTAGACCCCAAGCCATGTGAGTTTTTGAAACTTGATTGATTGATTGTTACATTTATAACAGTATATCTTTTGTATGTGTGATAGTTCCTAGTGCAACATTGATCTTAATTTTACCTTGAGACTCGTAGTAATTTGGTTGTGATGAGTGCATGATTGAAATGATAAAGGTATTTTCTTTTCTTTTTTTCTTAATTTTAGCCTCCAAAAGTTATTCTTTGTACACTTTCTCCCTAGTTGTTACCCATGTTGAGCTTTACCCTATATTGAATTAGCCATATTACAAGCCATCATCCTCAATTGGTTACTATTCCCAAGCCTAGCTTGGGGGAATGGTTACTAGACACGATGTTATTGCTCTTGAAGCTTCGATCTTCGGATTCCACGAAGAACTTGGGGTTTCTTTTTCTTTCCCGCTTAGTCCTCCACGTATCCTCTTCCCAATGCTCCCCAATCCCTTTATGAGATGGAGTTTATCCTCCATCCTCTTGACCTATTCTCCTTCTTTGGTTTCTCGGTTGTTCAATTGTATCAGCGTGCACCGAGGAGACAAGAGGTGGGAGCTGTTGGTTTGCCTGAGCCTTCATGAAGTCCATGATGAAGACCATAAGGGCTTTTTCCACTTCTTCTGAAGTGGAACCCGTCTAGGGTGTCCCATTTCGGTGAGACTATGAGTGGCGGCTAGGAGTTGGACTCTTAGCATTCGACTGACTCGGCCGGCGAGAGCTCGACGACTGACCAATGTTGTGAGATGGTCTCTCCGACGAGGCTTTCTCAGAAGAGGCAGCCTCCGAAGACGAAGAGGAAGAAGGTCCTTTCTTCGCAGCGGAAGAGGAAGGGTTAGTTTTCTTCGCACTCTTAGTCATATTGCTAAGTGAATCGATTTTTGGCTTGTTTTTTATTGTCTTTCCCACAGACGGCGCCAAATTGTTTCGCATGTAAACAGTTGGTCCTCTGACTAGACCTTAGAAGTGGGCTGAAAATTGGACTCGACCCAAGTGATGAATGGGGCGAGGGTTTCCTGCGCAGCAAACACACGTAAACTGGCCTCGGGGGTGGTGTTGTGGAAGGCTCCTCCGATGCCGAAGTTAGGACAGTGTTTAGAGAGAGAAAGCAACGCAAGAGTATTAATTGCTTGAGGCTTAAAATGCATGAATTGAGAGAGAGGGAAGTCAAGGCTTTTATGCCTTACTCAAATACCTTTAATGGGCCTCTTAGCCATGTGGGCTTGCCACATTAACTGGGCCTTCTTTAACTTACTTGGCATGCTGGAAGAAAGTTGAACCTTCTTTGGGCTTTTAATTTGATCATTTGTGGACTGGTCCAATTAGAGTAAATCAGACCCAAAGAACTATTATTTCAATAGACATGGATGTCAAGTATTTTAATTTGCCTAAAACTTTAGAATGGAGAATCATTTACTATTAATCATTTATAGTTATTCTCTCCACATTCAAAAACTTGCACACACATTATTTAAGTAAATCATTTTTGTGGAAGACCAGCGAATCCAAGCACAACATGGCCAAGAGGGCCCAAGATTGCTTAATATGAGTTCATTTTCCGTGAAGGTATTGGCGAAGTTCATACCATTATTCCATTATCCACGAATTAATTGCCAATGAAAGAAAATGTTCCCTAATCAAGCTTTAAATGTTGTTATTGTTGAGGTGTCAACCAAAATCCTACATGAAAACAGTAACAGTTGCATTCTTTATACGTGTCCACCTATCTCTATTAGTACGATAACAAGGAGACCAAAAACTAATTTGCGCGGGTTTTCTAGACATTATAATTAATTTTATATTGTGTAGTGATCAGAGTCAAGGTGAGAGTGCAACCCAACAAGTCTGGATACACCATGCACGGGTCCTAACAAGTGGTGTCAGAAGTTGTGGGATGCATTTGCGTTACATGGAGAGCCCTCAATGCGACCTCACAATCCCGATCATTGTATGTACGTAGTTTGAGATTATTTTGTTTTCAAATTTGGTTAAATATAAAAGTTTTTTTTTTATTATTATTATTTTACATATATACTAGTTGTATAATGTGGATTTGTGGATATGAAGATTTTGGGTCATTTCAAATTATTTTTTCTAAAACAATAGAGGTGGTTTTGACTATAACACATTGACTTAGTTAGGATTGGTTTCCTTTTTTCATCTAAAAAAAGAGTTATTCATATCTCCAAGCTAGGAAGTAGGACAAAAATGGACACAAGACTCACCATAAATTATTTGTGCCTAACTAATTATTATTCTTTAACGACTATTATTCACAACTACTACTATTATTGTAGCTATAACATATATGGAAATTATAATGAGTCACTTTTTTTGGTTTAGAAAAGTTGGCAAATGGTAGTTGAGAATATGAACAAAGTTATGTCTAATTTTCCATAACAAAGCGACCTGCCTATAATGCATCAAATCATCGTACAAAGACTATGTAACACAATTGAAACTATAAATATGAAAACAATATTATAAATACAAAGTTTTCAATTAACAAATTATTAACCCACATTAGTCACCTAGAATTCTGCCATGTTTCTTGGCTTGAAAACCTCCAGGAACACAAATTTAACCTCATTCCATCGTAACTTATTACTAATTGTTCTATATAGTTTCGTAATTATATTGCGCGCTACTGCCCAGTCTACCCTCGAGCCTAAGGCTCCAAAGAATTCAGTCCGAGCAATACTTGTGTTTGGTGATTCTACGTCGGACCCTGGAAACAATAACTACATAAGGACTGCATTTAAGAGTGATTTTTCACCTTATGGAAGGGATTTGCCTACCCATGTTGCTACCGGAAGGTTTAGTAACGGAAGATTGAGTACTGATTTTATTGGTACGTAAAAACCTGAAAAAGAATTACTACTTTCATTTCTTATTATTTGTAACAAAGAAATATTTTATATCTCACAATTAATTCTCTTTTGTTGCACATAATAAAAGATAAAGGTTGTATTATGTTACATTAATTCATATGATAATCGTGAATTGTATATATATTGTAGTAGTTAATATTTTGTATGAGAATTTCATTTTTAAAATTTAAATTTAATTTCTGCATGCAGCAAGCTATGTTGGAATAAAAGAGCTAATTCCAGCATATTTGAACTCATCGCTTAGTATAGAAGAGTTGATGACTGGAGTTAGTTTTGCTTCTGCTGGATCTGGATATGATCCTCTTACACCAACACTAAGTGTAATCTACCTCTTTCTCTTTTGTGCATACGATTAATTTAATAAGAACGTCATTTTTGTAACATGTTCTTAGCTTATATAGTCATGTGAATAAACTCAATTAATTGCTGTTGTACATTCGAGGTGGGGTTGTTTTTTTTTTTTTTTTTTTTTTTTTTAAAAAAAAAATAAATAAATAAATAAATAAATAAATTTATGTGCGTTTACTCATTTAGGAGGTCAAGCTTCATTCAAATGAGTTAGGGGGGTGGAAGGGAGGGGTTGAAGTGGTGTTCGTTGTGATCATGGTACATCTTGGTACATAGAGTGAACACACTTTAGATAAGAATGCATTGGAGTTTATAAATACCAAAATACTTGTCATTGTAATTAAGCTGATTTTGGTATAAATCTCATATTTTGACTTGTATATATATCATTGCTTGGTTATTGGGGTCAATTTTAATAAGGTTTAACATGATCAAAACTCCATTCCTATTAATTGTTCTAAATAAGTGGTGTTTTTCGCTTATCACTTTATACATAACAATAATTATTACGGAGCATAGTACTATAATAAAAAATTGTTTTAATACACAAATTTAAATACTGTACAGTTTTCTATTATACATTTATACATTAAAAAAATCATTTATCGTTAAAATAATTGCATCAAAATTCTTAAGCTTCAAAAGGCGAAAACATCATTTATCCAGAATTAAAGCGACTAAAAGTAAGATTTATAGTGAAAATTTAAGTTCCTTCCAAGAGAGGAAATAAAGCAAAATTGATAGCGTGACAATATATATAATAGTTCTGTCCTTTATTGTTTTCCATGGAAATTCATTATGCTTTATGCCAAATATATACATGCAACATGCAGAATCTCTCTATTTTGTCATTGCTAATTATTCTTGTACAAATAGTAAATATTAAGAACATTGTAAAACGAGTAATTTATACACCAAAAGGAAAATCTTGTTTTTGTATGTTTTTACTTCCTATACGTTATGTGCTGACTTAAATTTGCAACAGGGAGTAATTCCATTGTCAAAACAATTGGAATATTTCATGCAATATAAATCAAGAATTGCGGCCAGCATTGGTCAGGAAAAGACCAATGAGCTCATCAACAAATCGGTATTCATTGTTAGTGCTGGAACTAATGATTTTGTGGTCAACTACTTCACTCTACCAATTCGGAAAAGGATGTATACTATCCCTCAGTATCAGCAGTTCTTGGTCCAAAATGTTCACCAATTTATCAAGGTTAGTCCCTTCTACCTTTCCAAATTAATACACTGCTTTAACTGGCACGTTTTTTTACGCAGAAAATCAATAAATAATACTCGTATATGTTACCAATAAGTATAAATGATAAAATGTTGATATTCAAATATTATGGATTGAAACAACGCTAACAAGTATCTAAATGACTATGTTTAAATAATTAAATCTCATAAACTCTGTATAAATTCCAAATATTCATCAAAGTGGTGTATGTGAAAAGTGTAAAGTCATAGGGACATTTATTTAGAAATGAAAGAAGTGTTAGTACGAGTATTATTTCTGATATGTTTGATATATTAAGTATAATGTCATTTTCAGAGCATTAAAAATGTCGTGTGAGAACAGAAGATTCTTGTGAAACATAATTATTAGTCTGTATATTATGTTAAAGTTGATGTATACGAGAATTTGAAAGAGTTTATGGTGACAAGCTTTAAGTATTTGAATGGGACTGATGTAAAACAAACTAAACCTTACTGTTTATAAATTTTTATCATCTAATAAATCATTATAGGTCGGAATTTAGAAATCACCTCAAAAAGTCTTAAACTGCAACTCCATAACTAGGAAAAGGGTGCAACTTGAACTACACGAGACATGACATTAGCAGTAGTGCGATCTTGACTTGTAAATCGATCATGTCATTTATCATCACTATTAGGTGACTTAGGTATGAAGAACTAGTGTGCTGTGTTTGTGCGTCTATAACGAACGTCCATTATAAGGTATTACAAGAATTATATAAAAAAAAAATTAAAAAATAAAAAATAAAAAAACCATTTCAATCATTAGATTGTTGATTTTTAATTAAATTATAACATACACGAGTAATGTATCACTTTCGCATTATATTATTCATTTGTAAATTAAGGTAAGGCTAGAATTATCCGGAGTATGTATATTTTTTGTACAACACCTTAAATATAGAGATTCGAAGTAATTAAACATGTGTTACTAAGTATCCATGTTCACTTGATAAATTTCAAAATTTTGATACTTTATCGTCAAAGAAATTTACATTTATCGATTTTTAGTAAACTATTACCATATAAATAATTAAGCAAATTTTTTAAAATGTAGGTTGGCAATTATTACTTGTTCATTCATGATATGTGTAAAAATTATAAAGAATTAATATTTTGAATATTCATTTCAATACGAATTTAACAATATTTCACGTGATATTTCCTATAATAATAATAATAATAATAATAATAATAATAATAATAATAATAATAATAATAATAAATATTCTACATAATATGATTTTAATCTTTATTATAATGTATTTGTGTAATCAATTTTATAAAAGATGTCCAAAGCTTTCAAAACGTACTTAATTGAAAATAAAAATAAAATAAAATAAAAAACAAGAGAGTAATTTTTAATGGCATTTTTTTAGTTTGCATTTTAATGATTTTTATATTCCAAAATTAGAGTTTGTGGGACCAAGGAGCAAGGAAAATAGCAGTAGTTGGAATACCACCAATGGGTTGCTTGCCAATTGTGATCACCATGGCATCAAACAACTCCATCATACGACGTGGCTGCATTGAATCTCAATCGTCCGTTGCTAAAGATTATAATCAACTTCTTCAAACTCAGCTTAATTCCATGCAGCTTAGCTTACAAGATCAGCGCACTAGAATTGCTTACATTGACGTTTATTCACCATTGCTTGACATGGTTCAACCTTCTCCAAATTCAAATTATAGTAAGTTTCTATGCTTAACTAGAATACTAGATTAGAAAATTGTCACTTTTATTAATGAATTACGAGTATTAAATTTTAAGCTCATATTAGTATATGTAATTATATGTTAAACTCAACATATATTATTAATTGAAAATATTAGGATTAGAGTTGACAATCTCCCTGAATTGAATTTTTCATCCTATCCTAAGATTATTGAGGGAATCCTAAACATAACCTAATTTCAACCTAATTTGGCTCGTCTATCATATTTTATTCTATTAAACTCGCTTTTACACACTTTTAAATCTTTTTCAGAAAAAAAAAAAGCCTAAAATTGACCCTGAAACTAAACTTTGTCCCAACCCATTTACTTGAATTGCCATCCCTAAGGCCCTAATCATGAAATAGTGTAGTGGAAATTGCAATTAGAGAAACAAATACCATAATCGGACCTCCTGAAAATTGGGTCAGCAACTTTCTATTGGAACATATAGGAATTAAGTGTCTTTATATTCTCTAAACCCTTTCATACCAATTTAGTATTAATTTCCATACACTAATTAAAATCTTGGGTTATATAATTTGTGCAGGTTTTGAATATGTGAGCAGTGGATGTTGCGGTACAGGTTATCTAGAAGCAGCATTTATGTGTAATCCGGCGTCGTATGTATGTAGTGATGCATCCAAATTTGTATTTTGGGATTCAATTCATCCCACTGAAATTACTTACTATCTCATCTTCAAGGCCCTTCGTTCAGTCATTGACTATATCGTTAAAGATTGATGTATTCACCCCTTTTTTTTCTGACTAAATGTGTTTATCAATTACATTTATTTATTGCGATTTCTTGTGCTCATTCTTTAATTTTTAGGTTAATTTAGGTAAAAAAAAATCATTACATGTCAAAGATCGGATCTACTTCTAGGTAATCTCAGACATTTTTTTTAAGTATTCTATATATAAATCATGAAACAAGCAATGCCCGGTAAAAAACACAAGTTTGCGGATAATAAATTGTAACTACTGTAATTGAAAGGAACTAAGGGGTTGTTTGGTTGAACTTCTTGAAATGGGTTAGAATGGATTTAGAATCCATTCCATGGTTTTATTTGTTTGATTGAGCTATTTAAGTATGGAATCTCATACCTGAGGAATTCTAACT